GGGTTGGTGCTGGGGGTAATTTTACTAACTCAGGATGTGCTTGGGTGACGAGTGGCACGAGGGTTGTGCTTGCCAGCCGGATTGCTGTTTTGTTTTTGGCTCCTATCTGACTGATGGCTGTTGTCTGTCCCTGTGACTGTTGTGTTGGAATGAGAGAGAGGTCTTCCCCATGGGACGTGTATTCCCAGGCATGAGTTGTTTCGGTGATGTCAAACAGTGCCTTATGTTGTCTTTCCCTCCCTCCCTCCCTCCCTCCCTCCAAGTTCTGACCTACTGGAAACCACTTCCACAAGCGGAGTGAGGAGTGGAGTCACGGTGACTCAAACATATAGGTTGGATATTAGGAAAAACTGTCTCACTAGGCAGGCAGTAAAGCACTGGAACAGGTTATCCAGAGAGGTGGTGGAGCCTCCATCCATGGAGATGTTTAAGAGCCGGCTCGACCTAGCCGTGGCTGGGGTGATGTAGTTGGGGCTGGTCCTGCTTGGGGCAGGGGGTTGGGCTAGATGTGACCTCACTTTCTATCATTCCAGCTCTTGGCACCCCAGCTGTGATGTTGGCTCCTGTTTAGCAGACTTGGATTCAGGCCACCAAACTTGACCCAAATAGAGCTGACCGGATGATTCGGGGGAGGACTTTCAAAGGACCAAAGAACTGTTAAGTGCCTAATGCCCAGGGGCCCTGTTGGAAAAACTTCTGGACTATAGTGATTGTATTCTCCATCAGATGCAGTCCCGGGGTCTTATTGTTCTGGGCATGTGTTTCTGAGCTACCAGCAGAGACAACGCAGCAGTAACTACCGGAGTGCATTTTAAGCTATTGGTGTCTCTGCTCTTGGTAGGTAGGAGTGTGTGGTATATTCCCTCTGCCTACTCTCTGACCTGTACCACGTGCTTCCAGAAAGAGACTGTCTGCTGGTCACTGTTGCAGTGAAAATAAATTGATATCAGCCAAAGAACTTTTTTTTTTTTTGCTTTGAGCTTTTAATTCTTTCTTCCCATGAGGGCCTGAATTTACAAAGACCAAGGAACCACCCAGCTAAGCCAGAGGCTTCTCAAGAGCAACAAAATCTGCCTCTTGGGTATTTATCTTTTCTGAACTGGAGGCTAAAAAGGTGAGGCATAGAGCTGGGACCTGCTTTCCGATGAATAAAGACCCTGTCTTTTTTTTTTTTTCTTTTCCCCTCTGGGAGATGATGTTGATCTTAACACAGTGGTTGCTCAGGCTACTTTTCTAATGCTCGGTGTCTCTCAAACACCTGTTCTTCAGGCATCTTGGAACATGGCAAGCCCCAGTCAGCCTCCCTGGTCCAAAGGAGTCTCAAAGGTGAAATGACTTTGTCCTGTGTTGATCAGTCCCAGTGCTGGTACAGGGCTACTTTTCAAAGGCTTGGTATCTCTAAAATGCCTCTTCATCAAGAATTGTGGCGACGGTTGCAAATGCTCATCAGCCTCCCCGCTGATGCTGGAAAGGCATCTCAAGGGTGGAGTGATCTGCCTTGAGTATGTCAATGGGGATGGAGCTGGGGGGAGTGTTCTGGCCCTGCATGCATTGGGTAACAGTGTACCGGTGAGGCAGGCATGCAGTAAAACCCTAGAGCAGCTCTGCTTGACTTGGATGCAGTTAGTTGTACCTTTACATTGTAAATTTATGCTCAGAGCTGGCTCTGGACATGCTGGCTGGAAGCAAAGCTGCTGTAGGCAGTGGAGGTGTCTGGAGCTAAACTAGCAGCTTCCCTACCACTGGCCCTTGTCCTTTGTGCTTGCTTCATGGGGCACTTCCGAGGGCTTTTTGTACAACGGAGGCTGTTTTGGGGAATGTTTTCTGGTTGGGGTGCGCAGGAGGGCTGACGTGGATGTCCCCGTGGACATCCTAGGGGCAAATGCTGGTTGCCTGCCGTTGCAGAGGCCTGAACTCTGACTTGGCTGGTCCCTCGGTTCTGGCGAAATGCAAAACACATGGGTATCTTCACAACAGCAAGCTTATTGGTCTGCCAACCTTGCGCTCTCATGATGAGTGTTCACAGAGCATCTCCTTGCATTGCCAGTGATGCTAGAAGGCCTCGGTCTCTGTTGAAACCAACTCCATTTCCACCTCCCTTACTGTGTTAGCACTATTAACATTTAAAACCAGAGCCTGCCAGAGCATTTACAGGTTTAAAAATCAATAGAAAAATAACACTTCAAGGCTGAAAACAAATTAATTCTCCTTGTTTTTCCCGGCAAGTCTATAGGGAGAAATACATGCCTGGCTAGCTCTGGTGTGAAAAGCATTAGAAGGTAAAGGAACAGGTGGTGTTGTCTTAAGGTCAGCAGGGGCTGGAACAAGTCGGTAGTTTTAGAAATATGCTAGAGGCAGCAACTTGGACCTTGGATATGGTTTATGCATATCAACTGGGAACTATGTCAGAGCTTGGGGAACAAGGACCTGTTCTTTCTGTCA